TAATCTCATTCAGCCAGGTGTCCCCCATCATATATCTGTACTTTGGTGCCATGGTGGTGGTGGTCTCCTATTTTGTGTCCATTATAAATTCCCAGTGAGTTATGGCAGATTCTTTTTTCTTTTTTGCTTCTAGAAGTTTTCAGTCCGTAACATTAAGTTCAAAGTGGCCACTGCAACTTTGGTGACAATCAAAACACACATTTTCATATTTTAAAACATCTGTAACAGTGTCCTGATGAAATATGGCAGACCTTCCTTTGCTTCTAGAAACCCCCTACCCTGAAATTGTGACATGAACCTGCACACTGAGCTTGGACAATAACCAAAAATACTCTGCCAAATGTTGAATGTCTAGGATGATTTCTCAAAGCAATATGACACTTCCTCCAATTTCTGCTTCTAGGAAGCCTTGTTTGCAATTTCAAATTGAGTCTAGGGGTTGCAACTTGGATGACAACAAGAAACACTTTGTAAAATTTTGAAGCAGCTTCATTTATATACTGCTTCATATTGTGCTATGGGATGTCTAAGCAGTTTACAACTGTAAGTTCATTGCCCCCCAAACAGTTGGGTACTCATTTTAGCGACCTTGGAAGGATGCAGGCCTGAGTCTATCCTGAGCCCTGGCTAGTATTGAACTCGCAACCTTGTGGTCTATGAGTGAGTGGCTGCAGGACAGGCATTTAACCACTGCGCCACCAGTGGTTAGTGTGATGTCCACTGTTTAGTGTGATGTCCCAGTGAATTATGGCTGCCATAGACATACACACAGACATATCCTTTTAATGTTATAAACTTTTGTGGACTTCACCTCACTTTATCTGCATGGAACATTGTCTCAGAAGATGGATATTAGAACACACTGGAAGATAATAACACATATTTGGAAATCTGTGGGAGGTGCAGAATTGTAAGCAGTGGGGTCAGAGGAAACAAAAAGTACAAATAACAATTATTACCTTAACAATGGCCATTAAGAAATTGTAGTTACAAGATAGCACAGACATTCTTGCATTGACTAGTCAATGAATGCATGCATTGTGAGAAAAAGGTTCTCTCTCTATTCAAGCCACAGCAGTTGGATTTCTTGCTGAGTTCTTGTAGGTGGGGTACTATAATCAGTGGGAGAGAAGAGAGGTGAAACAAGTACTGACAGTGATAATTACCTTACCAGTGGCTGTTTAAAAACAGTAGTTGGATGGTAATGCAGACATTCTCGCACTGATGAACCTGTTAAGAAGAAAAGATAGTTTTTTAAAAGAGATTTTGTCCTTGTTTGAGCTATAGGAAATAGAATTGAATACTCTTAATTGTTGTTTAATTGTTTCATTTTGGAATTTTTCGCTTTTGTCACTTGCCTTTCTTACTGCTGTTGATATGTACCCATTACTTTCCTTCAAAGAGTTAAGGGCATCATATACTATTTTTCTACCTCTACAGCCCATACCAGTCTTGTGAAGTTACAATCTGAGATAGAATTTGTTGTTGTAGATATAATTTAGTCATTATTAAAATAATTTAGCCCACCCACCCAAAATAACAGCATGGAGTACAATCAGTAAAATAACTTTAAAAGACTTTGAATAATTTAAATCATCTTAACAATACAAAACCCACAGTCACTGAACTAAGAACCCATGACCTCATTCATTGCCCGATGTTTAGGTGAATAGCTAGGGTTTCATTTTGCACTGAAATTAATTGGTGTAAGCCTCTCTCCAAGGACAGCTTGTCTCATGACTGACCCAAGATCACTCATGAGTTTCCTAAATAAATCTGGCTTTCTTTGTTTTTGGGGCAAAATTAGATGTTAATGAACATTGTGCCCGGTATCCACATTTGAGGTGGAGGGGCCTAGTTTCCATTGGGCTTGTAGTGTGTGTGGATGGGGGTGACCTTGATGAGCCTTTCTCCAGTTATGATGAAAATTGCAGCCCACATGCATTTCAGTGACCAAAAGAAATGAATTTGGTTAAACATCAGGACAGGCCCAAGGCCAAAGAGTGCCTGAGACAAGAAGATTTCTTCACATCAGTCACAGTTTTAAACACCTTGGTTTCCTTTTTTAAAAAAAATGGCTTATGCAGGTTATTTCTGATTCTAGATCAGGGTCACAGAAAGTGTGGCAAGTGGGTCCAGGGATGTTTTTTATGGCTCCCAGAGTCACTTCCTCTTGTAAAAGAAGGCCTTCCCTGACCCTAAAATGGCTTGGTTTTTTTTTTTTAATTCTGGAAATGCTTCCACATCCTCTAGAGGAGGGGTAGGCAACCTTTCCCCTTTAAGGGCCGAGGGACTTCAGCTCCCAGAAGCCTCAGCCATGTTGGCCAATAGTACCATGTTGGCCAATAGCTCCTAGGATTCTGGGAGCTGAAGTCCCTTGGCCCTTAAAGGGGAAAGGGTGCCTACCCCTGCTCTAGAGGTTTGGGGGCAATTTATTTGGGGTTTTTCTTTGATGGGGAAGGGATGTGACATGCAGTGCACCCCTCCAAGGTCATTGGGTGGTGGTTAAGCATCCTAGACCCTGCTAGTTGTCTACCCCACAGGAGCCCCAGAACTGCATTTAAGATGGGAGACCCACATTGGCAAATGGGTTGTTATAGCCTGCTTGCAGGTACTTGCAGCTGGAAGGCAAATTACTTTTCCCATCCAGTATCATTCAAACATATCCTTAGATATGAAGCCTACCAAAAGCACAATGTGTACTTGGTGGCACAGTGATTAAATGCCTGTACTGCAGCCACTTACTCACAAACCACAAGGTTGTGAGTTCAATACCAGCCAGGGCTCAGGCTCGACTCAGGCTTGCATCCTTCTGAGGTTGCTAAAATGAGTACCCAGTTTGTTGGAGGCAATTAGTTTACAGTTGTAAAACGCTTAGAGACTGCATAGAGTGGTATGAAGCGGTATATAAATGAAGCTGCTATTGCTGTTGTATTAGAAGTATTGTCCATGTGCTCGGTGTAGTTCACTCCAAAGTAATTGTCCATAGAATAGATTGTGCACCTTTGCGATTCCTGGGAGGGCTCAATGACAACCACTGTCTTGATATTTATAAGTGTTTGATCATTTAGTACACCTCTGACTGGTAATACCTGAAGAGGCTCATCTACATAGGAGTCTAGGTGGTCAGAAGATTCAATTGTGCCAGATAATTTCAGGAGGGGCTCAGACACCCTGGAGAGCCAGCATGGTGTAGTGGTTTCAGCACTGGACTATACTCGTAACTCTGGAGACCAGAGTTCAAATCCTGCCTTGGCCATGAAAACCGACTAGGTGGCCTCGGCAAGTCCCATCCTCCCAGCCTCAGAGGAAGGCAATGGCAACCCCCCCCCCCTGAGGAAACCTTGACAAGAAAACCCCAGGATAGGTTTGCCTTAGAGTCACCATAAGTTAGAAATGACTCCAAGGTACACAAAACAACAACAATCAGCCATCCTGGCCTAGTCTTGGAGTGGATCCTAGTCTTGGACTCTTATCCCAGGGTCCATGTCCACTTCTGTCCTAGATGCACAATTTCCAAACATGGTAAGACATGTACTTACTCACATGTGTACAATTAAATTTATTCATGCCATATGAACTGCATATATTATTTCTTTTTGGAGTAGAGAATTTAGCAGCTAGCCCACAATAAGGTGCATTTGGGACCCAGAGCATCCCACCAAGCCCTGTATCTGGGCTGATCATTTTGGGTTGCCTCCCTGAAATCCATCCCTATCATTAGCAAGTATCACAAGCCAAACTGCACCAGTTCATTAACAATAAGAAATCCTTTAGACACTAACTGGATAGCTTTGCTAATATGGAAACACCACCCAGCAAGGCCAAATTAATCTGAAGGCTGGTCTACTTAGAAATGCCCCATGGAAGAGAGGGGTCTTGAGGAAGAAAAAGGAAGAAAAAGTGGGTGAGGCCTTCTGCATAATGATTGGAAGGACATTCCCAGCATTGGGTGGGTGGATAATGTGAAATGGAGACAAAGAAGGAATTGATACTGGTGTCACTGGTGAGTCGGGCAAGGCAGGATGTGGAGGCGGCACGACTTTTCCTTCTGAGTTGCCCTGGAATTAGAGCTCTCCTGTTCATTTTAGGGAATGCACCCTCCACAAGAAATCTGCAAAAGCAACAAAACTATCTCTAAGTATTGGTTGGCCTGGCATAATGGTTTGAGTGTTGGACTAGACTCTGGAGACCAGGGTTTGATTCCCAGTTTGATTTCAGGGTGTCCTCACGCAAAAGAGGAGAAGACACCACAAAATGGAGGACATTCAAGAAAAATGGAGGACAGTTGTGGCGTAGTGGTTTGAGTGTTGGACTATGTATGACCATGGAGACCAGGGTTTAAATCTGGGCTCGGCCATGGAAACCCACTGGGTGACCTTGGGCAGGTCACACTCTCTCAGCCTCTGGGGAAGGCAATGACAAACCTCCTCTGAATGAACCTTGCCAAGAAAACCCCATGATAGGTTCACCTTAGGGTGGCCATATGTCAGAAAGATTCAATTGTGTCAGATAATTTCAGGAGAAGCACAACACACAGAGACATAAGTGACTTCAGGGCACACAACAACAACAACAACAACAGCAAAAAAGTGTTGAGAGTTGTGCTTCCTCTCATTCCACAGGAGCCATTCTTAGGAGAGAGGAAAGCAAGTACAGTACTGTAAACCAAAAGCAAGCCTTCTGACATTTGCTCTGGTAGGAAAACTGTAATACTTTTTTTTTTGCACCGTTCTTTCCTTAAAAACAAAAACAAAAATGCCGAGAGTTGAGCCACAGAGAACTTCTTTCCCTGTTGTTCGGGGAACTTCCTCAATGCAGAGCGAGGACTTGGTGGGCCCCCCTCTCCCGCCTGCACTGCAGGCTGCAGACGTACGTGCAACGAAGCCACACGCTGTTCCGGCAAAAGTACACGCATCGCCCTTTTAAGGCCCTGCTGCAGGCAGGCGAAGGGAGGGAAGGAGCCGGGTTCATCTGAGGACACAGTCCCAGTTCTCAGAAATCCCTTCGCTGCTGGAACATCGAGCTCCCTTCACTGCAGTTGAACAAACTGCCCTAGATTGGGGGCTGGAGAGCCCGCCTCTCTCCCTCCCTC